CGACCTCGTCTACCCCGTCGAGATCGTCGGCAAGCGTACCCGCACCAAGGAGGACGGCTCCAAGACCCTCAAGGTCATCCTGGACGAGAAGGAGCGTGGTGGTGTTGACCACCGCCTTGATGCCTACGGCGAGGTCTACCGTCGGTTGACTGGCCGTGCTGTTGTCTTTGAATTCCCCCAGGGTGGTGCCGACTACTAGAGAGAGTGAAAAAAAAAGGAATCAAATTTTTTTTCCCTCTTTTTTTTTCCTTTTTAATTTGACAAGTGACAAATGTGACAAGACAAGAGACTAAAATTTGATTTGACCTTCTTACCTCAATTTCTCTTCTTACTCCGTCCTATTCTCTCCCATCTTTCTTGCCGTTTCTTCCATATTTTTTTGCTCGTCGATTTCCCTCAGAAAATCCACGTACCATATATTGCACGTGGGCTCGGGGGACATGCAGAAACATTAAACTACGATCTCCCCATCCCCCATCACCACCCCCTGTTTTGTTTCCTACATGTTCCCCACCCACACACCCACCCCAGCCGTCAGTCATTCAGACAGTTAGACACCTTGCTTGCGGCTCTTTGTGGGGTTGAGGATTGAGACAGTGAGGTTCTGGTCAGGTATCTATCTTTGTTTCTATCTTTCTTTCGGTTGGTTGGTCGGTTCCGGTACATGGTATATGTGTTTGTTTTGGGTGGGATTCGGGGCAAAAAAAACCGGGTATTAAGGGAATGAGGAAAGTCAAAGTTCAAAGATTCATGTCGGTCTTGAGTTCATTTGTTCATTTTGTCATGCTATTTTCAAAATAAAAAAAGGGGGGGGAGGAAGGAAATTGGTTGCTAGGGAGGGTAGCTAGCTAGCTATAGGGCTTAGGGGAATTGCCTGGAAAAGAAAATGCATTGTGTTGTCGAGTGTATGATCTTTGACTTTTAATTTTTTGAGTGTGTAGGTGGTGGGTTGGGTAGAAACTTGAGTACGTTGTAGATGGATTGGTAGTGGTAGTAGCTTGTGACTATTAGTAAACTCATTGAAGTAATTGGGCTCATATGAGTCTTGTTGCTAGGTGAAGAGTTGGTACTACAGTACTAGTGAGGCTAAGCCTTATACTATTGTGGGTTCGTTGTATGTCAATTAGTAGTAGTAGTAGCCATTATATTATAGGGCGTGAACTACTAATTACTATACCCACCAGCATGTGATGCTATTAACTGCTCTGGACTCAAGAATGAGAAAGATGCGATATATGTATATCTAGTAGAAAAGAAAACAAGGTATCACCAACATCCATCAATCATCACATCTATACACAAACCAACGTCAGAACTAAACATCCTTGCATCTATCTACACAATCTCCCTCACTATCCTCCCCACCCCCAACACCATCCAATACGCCAACTCCCTCTTCACCGTATCACTCCCACCCGCTCCAGCTCTCCCCACCCCCTGCTCACTATCAATCTGATTATCCGAATCCCATTCCATATGCACAAACACCGGAATCTCCAGCACATCTTCATCCGGCTGTAACTGCTCATTCGGGTCAGATGCCTGTCCGCTCCAGTCAAATCCCGGGTCGGAGTCGGAGTCATCATCGTCAGAATCGTCATCCTGGTCGTTTAGATCATCATCGGCGGAAGTCTTCTTCTTCAACTTCTTGTCTTTCTTGGTATTGTTGGCGGAGGAGGGTTGTTTCGCACCACCAGGTAATGTCCCCGGTACGACTTCCAACACCACGGTGGTCCAGTTCCGTCCCTTGTCCCAGACTTTGCCGGCCTCTGCGACTTTCTCGTACACGCCGAGCCCTCCGGATCGGGATCCGCGGGGGTCAGTTCCCGTGGATGTAGCCGTGGTAGTGGTAGCCGAAGTACCCTGGAGGGCTTCGTCCCACACGTCGCTGTTGGCGCCAATGTCGAATTGCGGACAGAGGATAGTTACTTTGGAGGCCACGCGGCCCGGAGTGACGGATGGCGTGGCGAGTGTGACGCGGACGGGATCGAACATGTGATTCTTCAGCGTGAGGAGGAGTTGGATGGGTCGGAGTGGGGAGAGAGCGTCCAGGTTCGGGTTCGTCGTGGAACTTGAAGGTGCCGGGAGAACGGTGGTGGTAGTGGTGGTGGCTGGGGAGGGACTGGGGTTCAGCGGCCGTAACGTCGGCAAGGGAATGTAGCTGAGGGCAATCAGGCGGATACGGAACCGCGTGGACTGTGGTTTCAGTTCGGGTTTGACGAGGATGTGCTTGCACGACTTGCATCGTTTGGACCGTTTCGTGCGAAGTAGCACGGGCAGGGGAAGGAGGTCCTCTACGAACCGGGCGTCGGGGGACTGGAACGCGCGTTGTTCAATGGAGGCGAGACCGTCCCATCCGCAGTCCGGGGAGGACATGCGTTCGATGAGTGTGTCTTCTGCGTCGGGGGAGGGGATCTTGAGACCCTCGCCGGCTGTGAGGGCTTCTCGCATGACGGGCGGTTTGGTTTTGGGCTTCTTGTTGGCTCCTCCGTAGAGGCTGCTGAGGCGGGATGACGAGGTGTAAAGGGACATGATGCGGTTTAGGGCACCAGGGGAGGAGAACCCGGAGCCGAAGTCCATGCCTAGGGGGTCGGTGGGGGAGGATGATGTCGCAGAGATCTGGTTCTTATAGAAGTTCTTGAGGGCGTGGAATCGAGCATCTGGAGTGAGAGGAGCACTGGGTTGGTCCAGAGGGGAGTCTTCGGGCTTGGTCTCGCCTGGTGGTAGGAATTGCTCATCGATGGAGGAGTAAGTGGAGAGGGGGGACTTGAGGTCCCCGAATGTCCGGGACATTTGTCTCGAGCGAGCAGGAATGACTTCGGTCATCTTGGACAGTTGGGTCCGGATGTTGGTCGGTTTATCAAACTTGATGCCAATATCCAGAGTCGACCACATGCAGTATCCGCAGGACAACACCCAGGGGCCTTGTTGGCTGGTGCCGCCTGTCACGACGTTCTCAAGGGTGTTTACACCCAAGGGGGCGGTGCATATCGGGCAGTTGAAGCAATTCCGAGCGCATCTATCATTCACCGCATTAGCATACACCTACAAAAGCTTGAGGCTTGTACATCCTGCTCAACGTACCGATTCCCCTCACTCCGAACCATGCTGCTGGGCGTCTCGAACAGGCAGTTCGGACAGTACCAGCACACAATCTCCTCGGTTATGCATCGCGGGCACTTGATCTGATGGCAATCTTCGCAGTAAAGCAGCTGCTCCGGGGGGTACAGAGAGAAATTGGCGCGCGGAGACCGAGGATCAAAAGCCTGTTCGTCTTCGTCGTCATCCGGGCGCAGGAGAGATTTGGGTTGATCGGGGTTGGATTTCTGCGGCGACTCCCTCGATCTCCGTTTCTTCGCCGGATCAGGAACGGGGATGTTGGCGCAAGGACAAGATATGAAAGTGTAAGGGAAGGGACGTGACATGTTGAAGAGTTCAATCAAGATATTGCTTATTGCATTCTAGGCGCATCATCAATAATCAGTATGGAAGCCCGAAAACAACATCAGGGGGAAGCAGAAAGCATTATACCTAAAACACCGGTAAATCGAATCACACAGAACGATTCAAATTGCTACCTCAATGTAATCTGCTTCCAACATACCCAAAAGACCCATCACACATTGAGAAATTGTAGAGCGAACAACCCCGCGACAAGAGGACGCGACGTGGCGGGAGAAAATGCGGAGATGGAATGGATTTCTCGCCGACGTCACGTTCCGCTGCTGCTGAGCTGCCTCCAACTTTTTTTCCCTACCCTCTAAACCTCTTCTCCCTCCTCTCAATTCCAGCAAACCCAACTCCAATTCATAACCCAGAGACCTCAAGATGTCTCTGTCTCACATATTTCGACCAGCACTGCGCTCCCCGCGCATCCACACCAAACGCACACCCACCTACACATTATCATCATCAGCATCATCATGTCCATCGCGCCGCACCTACGCCAGCCAAACGCCAGGCAACCCCGTCATGGAAATCTTCAATCGCAAAACCAAGCACATGCAGAAGGACCGCGCAGCCCGCAATGTCGAGGAGAGCCGCAAGACCGACTACATCAAGGACGAAGTAGCCATGCGGCTATGTGAACGGTTGCTGGTATGCCTTCACCCCCCATCATCCTCCAACACCCTACAGATATAGGATAGCAAGCTGAATGGTATGGGATGGAATAGGACATCAAACGCACCTTCCCCCAAGTCCTCGATCTCGGCGCCAACAGCTGCAACATCGCCCGCGCTCTCACAATGCCCGATCCAGACCCTGACGCTCCCAACGGCAGCTCCCCACCCCTCAGCACTCGCATCGGGCAATTAACCTGCATCGAGACCTCCGAGGCCCTTCTTTACCGCGACGCAGACGAGCCCTTCAACGACCAGATCTCTCTAAAGCGGCAAATCGTGCCTGATCTCGAATCCCTTCCCTTCCCGGAGAACTCCTTCGACGCGGTGCTCTCCTCGCTCTCGATTCACTGGATCAATGATTTGCCCTCGCTGCTGGCGCAGGTGAATTCTATCCTCAAGCCGGACTGTCCGTTCATTGCGGCGATGTTCGGCGGGGATACGCTGTTCGAGCTGCGGACGTCGTTGCAGTTGGCGGATTTGGAGCGGCGCGGGGGTGTCAGTCCGCATGTGTCGCCGTTGGCGGATGTGAGGGATGTTGGGGGATTGTTGAATAAGGCGGGCTTTAAGATGTTGACGGTGGATGTGGAGGATATTGTGGTGGAGTATCCGGATACGTTTGCGTTGATGGGCGATTTGCAGGCGATGGGGGAGAATAATGCCATCTTGCATCGGGAGTTGGGACCCATGTCGAGGGATGTGCTGTTGGCGAATGAGGCGATTTATCGTGAGTTGCATAAGGAGGAGGGCTCTAGGGGAGTGCCGGCGACGTTTCGGTTGATTTACATGATCGGGTGGAAGGAGGGTGAGGGTCAGGCGAAGCCGTTGGAGAGAGGGAGTGGACAGTTGAATCTGAAGGATTTGTTGGGTGGTGGTTCCATTGGTAATTGATCATGATTTCAGTGGAGTTAGTCCATGTATAGTATAGAATCTTGTGCTTGTATAATATTGACGAGGAAAGGGAAAAATAAAAGAGGCACATCTAGGATATCATCCTGACGAAGAACATGAGTACACAGAACACACACACACACACACACACACACCTCCATCTTCAACATACAACAACCCAACTCAAAACAACAACAAGAATCATGCAATTTAAACAGTCCTCCGATCCGTCATGACCCTAACAATCGACCCCGTCCCCGCAACCTCCACCAACTTCTCATGCCAGTTCAACAACACACTCATCTGCTGTCCACCACCTCCTTCACCCAAATTGCGGGCCTGAATCTGCGAGAATCCCGTACTCTGCGGCGACATGCGAGGCGACTGTGCCGCGCTACTGGGAGCTGGCGCCGCCATGCCCTTGTACCTATACAAACAAAAATTCATTAGTATGGACATCCACAACCACCACTTGGTGATGATGGCATAGGAAAATGAAGGGGGGAACCATACAAATACTTCATCAAACAATCCGCTCTTTCCGACCCACCCTCACCGGTACACACAGACTCCAGCACGCGACTCATCTCTCCCTGACGAATACCCTGCAAGACCTCCACGACAGCGGCCAAATGCACCTCCTTTGCGCGGTCATCGCCGCCCAGCGGCGCCGTCTCGAGCACGTACCGCAGAGCTCCCTCGTTGTCGCCGCTGCGGAGGAGCTGGCGCACCTGGTTTACGACGGAGGCGGCGGCGCCGGAGGTCGTCGGGGCGGGGAGAGTGGGTGGGAGGAGAGTCTCCATGGGGAAGTTGATCGAGGACTCGGGGTCCAGGACGTCGATGTTGATTGTGCGGTAGTTGAGTTGGGCCATTGTTGCGGTTACTGTGCTGGAGGTTTAGGGTGTATACTGATTTGGGTTATAAAGGGGTTTTTCGAGTTGTCAATTAGAAACGTATGTAGCTAGTGGTAGATTCTCTGGTTAGCGATTGTGGTGGCTAGAAGCTGGAGCTGGGTGATAGGTAGGCAGCGTCATTACCAGGTGTCCGCGGGGAAAGGAGATGACGGAGGTGGTCAGGTAGAGAGATGCGGTGGGTGGCTAGGAAGGGCACGGGTGTGGTGTTCCTAGCGAGGTAGGTGGGTACAGTCTTACTGTGTTTGACTGAGATGAATTGACAGCGTGGATTGGAACAGACAGAAGGAATCAAGAGCTCCTGGAGAAGATGGTGGTGATGAATGAGGGTGAAGTGGCGGCGGAGAGCGAGAGTCGCTGCGGAGTGCGGGCCGGCAGGCCTGAGGCAACCCCTGTCAGGGTCAGGACTAGATGATTCAATAACAACCACTTCAACGTACGTTTTCAATTAAGAGGAAGGAATCGATATTATCACAATTAGGTATGATTGCTTTTGAAATATATAGACACTTCGCTGGGGATTATATTTATCTAATGTACATATACTGCTTGTTTCGAATCTAACAAAAAGCCACCAACTCCATGCACTATCTGCATACCCACACATGCTTAATCGTTGTATACCCATATATACAGAAGCTCAAAACCCGCTAATTAAACATCATACAAATCATCAAGAAGTCGTAATAGTAATTGGAGGCACCGGAATTGATGTAACAGGCGCCTCCGGCGTCGGCTCTCTCTTCAACTCGTGCAGCGACGCCCTTCCTGCCTCCTCGTCGGGCAAGGCATCAGTGCTGGTGTCCTGCTCTTCCTTCCCACCGCGCTTCACAACACGCTGGGCTGTTCTTTTCACCGGCCACAAACAAGAGCGAATCATGGCCGCAAAGTAATTCATAGCCCGGCCGATAGGCTTGAAGATAAATTTCATGCATCGGACGACAAAGTTGAGAGCAACCTCGCATGGCCCATCGGGGACCGTACGGAGAACAACGGCCCAGGGGAGGCAGCCCAGCGCGCAGATAATGCAAATAGCCCATTGGATCCCATCGAGACGGGTCACGCCAAAAGCTTCTCCTCCCACGAAGATGATCATGATTTGACCGCCGACCATGATGCAGTTGATTCCCAGGAACCAGTAGTTGCGGAACATGCCTTCGAAGATGTTGAACTTGTTGTCCAGTCGTCGGTTGTTGAATTCGTTGAAAATCTGCATCCACACAAAGGTATTGAACACAATAGTGTTGAGCACCGTCTGCGGGTCGTCGGTTCCAAGTCGCGATCCGATTATCTGGTTTCCACCAAAGTAGAGCATGAAGGTGATAGCCAGCTGATAGAGAGCTTGGCCGAGAATCATCTTCCACATGATCACTGTGAACAGCGACGCGCTCTTTAGAACAGGCTTGCGGTTGAGGATTTTTTCCGTCGGCGCGTCGGTTGCTAAGGCAAGAGCTGCAAATGTGTCCATGATCAAGTTCACCCAGAGCAGCTGCACCGCGTTCAGAACGCTCTTGTTCTCACTGCTGTACAAAGACGAAACAAAGGTCAAGACCACAGCTGTGATGTTGACCGTGATCTGGAACTGAAGGAACTTGGCGACAGCATCGTTGACAGCCCGGCCCCATGCAATGGCGGTGACAATGGACTTGAAATTGTCGTCTAGAAGGATGATCGAACTAGCTTCCTTCGCGACTTCTGTTCCGGCAATTCCCATGGAGAAGCCGACATCAGCTGTTCTCAAGGCTGGCCCATCGTTAGTACCATCACCGGTGACGGCGACAGTCTCGCCTAGTTTCTTGAGCCGTGCTACCAGAATCCGCTTATCCTCGGGTGACGAGCGAGCTAGCACCTGAAGACGAGGAATCACTCGATCCATTTCCTCGTCAGAAAGCTGGCGAAACTTGGGACCTTCCATGACAATGCCGTCCTCTGTCTTGATACCACATGACGAAGCTATCGCACTGGCGGTTACAATGTTGTCACCAGTGACCATCTTCACCTGTACACCTGCCGCATGGCACTTTTGGATGGCAGCGGGCACTTCGGGTCGGAGAGGATCCTGGATGCCCACAACCCCGATCCAGGTCATGTCGCGGAAAAGTTCCTCAAATCTGGCAGATTCAGGATCATCTTCCAAGCACCGGGCGTCTTTCGGCGGCCAGCTTGGGAAGTCGCGGTACACTAGTCCAATCGTCCGTAGGGACTGACCTGCGTAAGCTTCGACTGTGTTTAGGATAACCCTTCGGTCTCCCTCGTTCAAGGCATCGGTGGAGATATGACCGTGGGAAGTGTCTGCCTCGACCATCTGAGTCGTGCATGAGCCAACCATTATCTCAGCAGCGCCCTTGACAAGGAGGCGATAACCCATCGTAGGTTCCCGGTAGACAACCCCCATGCACTTACGTGCAGAGTCGAAGGGGATCAATTGGACAACGTCCGCAGAGGCACGCTCTGCAGTAACGTCCAGGCCGAGATGATCTTTGGCCATTTGCAGCAGAGCCACCTCGGTCTTACTGCCGATGAACTCCTTAGACCCATCCTTCTCTTCCTCGAAAGCAGTAGAGTTCAAGGCGATGCTATGAAGGATGAGATCCCGCTGCTTGCCTGAATATTGCTTGAAAAACTCAGCAGGAGTTGAGACGTCAGATGAGCGTTCCTCGCCTGGGGTATGCTTGAAACTCTTCGAGCCCAAGGTCCCTGCCACAACAGTCATCTTGTTCTGGGTAAGGGTCCCGGTCTTGTCGGAGCAAATAACTGTTGCATTTCCCATTGTCTCACAGGCACGGAGGACGCGCACAAGGTTGTTCTCCTTGACCATTCGGGTTGTGGCAAATGCCAGTGCCAAAGTTACAGCAAGCGGCAGACCCTCTATGGATATCAGTCAGTAAAAGTCATTGCCGTAGCATGGGTAAACTACTAACCAGGAATCGCAACGACAATGACGGTAACAGCAACAATGAGGATGTCGACGAACTCCTTGCCCTTGGCCGCAGGCGTTCCAGTGTTATGGGATAGATCCGCCACGAACCTGAAGAACAGAGCGAAGAACAAGATAATCGCAGCACTAGGAGCATTTAGCAAACAATACCATGTGAATACAAAGGAGGGTCGCTCTTACCCTGAGCCTAGCCAGCCGATCCAATTAGCAAGTCGACCCAGCTTGACTTGAAGAGGTGTCGGATCATTCGATTCCTGCAAAGACAGCAAGATCCGGCCGTAGGTTGAGTACGGCCCGACACTCGTGACTAAGTAGGTACCGACACCTTCAAGCACCTTGCTGCCCGAGATCATGAACGGGTCAAGCTTCTTCGTAGCCTTCCCATTCAAGATCAGCCGCCCGACTTCATATCCATCAGTCTTCTTCATCTGGTCAGATTCTCCTGTAGCGGAGGACTCGTCACATTTGATGCCATGACCCGAGACGAGAACCCCATCCGCAGGAATGGCGTCGCCCGGCTCGACATGAAGAATGTCACCGACTGTGATGTCGTGTATCGAGATCATGGAGACCTTGCCAGATCGAACAGCCTTGACTTCTCGGTCGTTGTTCTGAAGAAGTCAGTAGCGGTCTTAGTTAACAACAAAAGAAAGGGTAAGCACTTACACGTTTATTCAGCTTAGCAAACTGTCTTTCCTTCTGCCAGTCATTTGCAGCAGTCACAATGGTTACTATCAGAATAGCCACACAAATCGCCACTCCTTCAATCCAATCCACTCCACTACCTTCGCTCGTGGTCTCATAGATACCAAGGGACAGCGACACGATAGCAGCTATCGTCAACAAAATGATGATCTTGTCGTTGTAGGCTTGCCAAAACAGCTTCAAGAATCCCGTTGACTTTCGAGCAGGCAGTCTGTTCTGACAGAACACGCCTATGCGGTCTTGAAACTGCGTACTGGACTCTGTAATCGGGGCGTCAATGGTTGGAGGAGCGGTTTCTTTGAAAGAGGCATAGTCAGGGGAAGTCGCTTCCGAAAAACTGATCGAACCCTGCAAGAGAGTCTCATCGACCGACAGACCAGATGTCAGATCTGTCCGCAGTCCTCGTTCCAATCCCTGCATGCCTCCAAGTGCCTGGAACGCAGCCAAAGATTTAGGGTTCTGCATCTTGTTCAATTGTCCTGGAGAGAAGGCGAACTTATTGTCTGGCACTATGAAGTCCTGTTCGTTTCGAGGGTCGGGATTCAAGGCATCGGCCACCGAAACATCATCGTACTCCATCTTGGTCGGGGCATTAGTGGCTTCAGAGTTGGCTCTCGACCTTACGGCTGTATCTGCACTGGAGATGGTAGAGTCTGCTCGCGGACGTAACGTCTCACCGTCCAGCGACTGAGCCGACGTCTGCGTGTCACTCCGTACCCTGAGCCTGTCTGGCGATAGAGTGGACGCCATGTCCGCGGGTGAAGAAGGTCGAATAGATGATATGCTTGTTCGTATTGAGTCGGATGATATAGGGTGCTGCTGTTGGTAAGCGTATGAATATATGGCTCTCTCATTAAGCCCTAGCGCTGTTGAACATACCTCTCTATCTGAAACCCCGAAAGGGTTCAAGAAGCCAGACTGAGAATGCTCGTCTGGGGTCTGCATTGATGCGACCGGAACGAGATCTGATTTGGTAGAGACGAAGAAACGGGCATAAATCCTGGTAAATGCAGTGTCAACTTCAAAGTGTTGCACCTGCTGCTACTGTTTGGTTCTGTGCCCGAGCGACACCCGTTATTAGTAGATCTGGTCTGGGGGCTGTGCTTCCGAAAAGGGTAACCTAAAATTTAATAGTCTGATTGTCTCATAACGGATTTCTTCGTATCAATCCTCATGTCTGGTTCGTATCATCCGTGGCACTGAGAAGAGATATTGTAACGCCAAGGGTCTTCCCAACAAGCACGGGATGAAAAAAAGGAAGCGGTTGCAAGGTCCGAGGAAGAGGCTAGCAAGAGTCCGGCTTTTGCCATACGCCAAAACAACCATGAAGTGTGAGTGAGTTGAGTTGACCCGTATGCTTGGTAGCATCACAACGCGCTGCACAGCCTCCTTCAATCCGTCCTATCAC